CATTACTGGGGAGAGCAGCTGGAGTGCACACCTCACACCCAGCACTGCTCCTGCCCTCTGGGTGAGTAGGCAGAGGCTGGGTGCCACTCCATCCACCAGCAGCACTGAGTGTGGGCTCAGCCCGAGTACCCCCAGCAGGTTAAAGCAGCATTCTGCACTGGTCTGATTTACCAAGATAAATCCTTCCAGCTCCACATCTCCAGCAGTCAAACCAGTGTTAAGCTACCCCGAGAGCCAGCAGAAGGGGAAATGCAGGCTGACGGTGTGGGATGGCAGCAGCCTCCCTGCAGCCTGCCACTCACCAGATTTGGGGTTCATGGAATCACACTGGGCGTTGTACATGTGCACGAACTCCTGGTGCCTCTTGATGAGCTGCTGGCGGGTCCCCGAGGTGGACAGACCGTGCTCCTTGAGCTTCTTCCTCAGGTCCCGATCCGACAGCAGGTTATAAACAACTTTGGACATCAGCTTCCTTTTGTGGTCAGAACTGCCACAGGAAAACAAGAGACACTGTATTTAATTAATACTCCTAGGAAAATCAAGCTATTCACAGTTACTTAAGGGTACATCACCCACTCAGGATAACGTACACATGAAAGAACATGCACATTGGGTTTTCCACCCCTGTGCTGGCCATGGCTCACTTGAATCAGCTGGAGAAATATTAAAAGTATTAAAACATCAAGCCAAAACTCAAATTAGGAGATTTTTCAGCTTTCTGGAGAAATGTCTTTGAGAAAAATAGTCATGCACCTGAAGGCAGCAGTTCCCAGCTAACAGAAGGGTAGTTTGGTGATACAGAGACATTAAAGATAAGTAACAGTGCTCCCAGAAGAGTAACATCTAAATCCAAAATTTACTGCTTTCCACTGCTTTCTGTCAGGACTCAACATTCCTGGCACAGCTGGGGAAAACATCTTAATTACAGGAAACTGCCAGAGAAAATTCAAGTCCTAGCACAACTTTTGTCACCTAAAATTAGCAGAACATTTCCTCCTGTCAAATTAGCTCAGGCTGCCCTACACCTCCTGGTGAGATACTCTCAAACCAGAAGAAACAAAGGGGCCAAAATCCATCTGCAGCCTTACTCATCTTCTGCAACTGCAGTAATTCATAGAGGAACAGCATTTAATTAGACATTTTTCTTTCTGCAGCAAAATAAAGCTCAGCTGCATTACTCTGGATTAGAGAGCAGTTAACAGCTTTCCACTGTGAAAATGATAGATTTATTTGAAAACTATTCAGCACTTTCAACTTATCACATTGAAAATTTCAAGGTTAAAAAAAAAAAAAACTTACACAAAAACTGTCAATAATTCATTTACTCTCATCCAGCCCTGTAGCATGGCTGGTAAACAGAAGATGGATTACCACAATACACTCTTCAGGGAAGCTTTTTTCAGATTCTTTTGGGAAATATAAAAAATTTCACTGAATAATTAAAGTAAATCTTTTGAAAGTCCTACAGAAGCTTGGTGTGTATTCCAGCTCACCAGCAGCATGACCTAGCATGCTGACAGCTCACAGGAAAACACCTCACAGCAGGTTTAAATCCTGATGTTGGTTGGGTTTCCCCACGCTTGAGAAGCACAGTTACCACAGCCTGGGTTTTTAATGGAAATTAAATCTAACATCAGATTTCAATACCCATTTACCATTTTTTTCATCTTGAAAGTCCTTTAGCTTACAGACTGCTCTCTAAGCATGACTGGACAAAACAAGAGCTTTAACATAAAATTACTTTCTAATTCAAGTTTCAGGGGAATTGGGAAAACAAGCATTGAAGTACAAATCCTCCCAGTCCTTCAGTCTGATCAGTCAGAAATAACAACAGCCCAAATTTCTGCTGTAAGTAAAACAAACTGAAACTCCACTTCTGATGTGAATGTGGTGACCATGACCAATGCTGGGGCAGGGGCACAAAGCCAAAGGAATGCATTAATCTTATGGAAATCGAGATCTTCAGGAAACCTCAACAGCCCCACAGAGAGGAAAGAAAGGTGCAATTTTTATTCTTTAACTTGACAGCTATTGAAGAAAATGTCTCTTGGCACACCTGAACCGAAGGAAGCAATTCCTCCACCAAATGAAAAATGGGAATCAGTGTTATCTGAAGGGAATTTTAATGCCAGGGAGCAGAAAGGTGACAAGAACAACGCACAGACTAAGCTCTCCCTGTGATGAATTTCTTAAAGCATTGGCCACTGTTTTCTCGCCACTAAAAGCCAAAGAGTAATTGAGCTGGCAATCCACACTCTTTCTCAAGGGGGACAATCCCCACAGTGATTCCAGAGTGCTGCAGAGAGCAGGGAAGCCAGAAACAAACACAGAGCAGCACTGTGACACCCCAGCAGCACACAGCCCCCAGCCCAGCAGTGCTCACACCAGCCACACGCATCTGGAGCCCTCAGAGCTGCTCCTCACCTTCGCAGGCTGTCCTTCTTCTCCCCTCTGGTCAAGCAGCTGTCCAGATGCTTGTTAATATATTGCTCCAGAATAGCAACCTCACAAACAGGACATTCCACTGAAAGCAAGGGAGAAGGTATTTACTAGTGTGGATGTAACAGCAAAGAGGGAATGTTCTCCTCTAAAACCAAACTAACAGTTGGGATAGTAACAAAGCACATCAGTCCTGAGCTGTTACTGTCCTGGAAGGTACATCTGAGTTCTCAGAACAGGAACAAATAGCACTAAACCCTCTCACTCCAAGTGTTTCACAAATACTGCCTGACCAACTACTTGGCATTGGTGGAAATACTTTCCATGTGGTGCGTGCTTAAAGCTTCAAACAGATCACAGAATGGGAAGCAAGCGAGAGTTTTAATTGCTCAAAAATAAACAAGCAGTAAAATTTCACGTGAGTTTTTAACTTATCAACACAAGCAGGTCTGATGTAAAACCACGACAGGTTTCCCGTGGCTCCTTTCCTGGCTGTGGTACCTCTTTCAGCAGGATCCCTCCAGCTAATGAATACACATGAACTTCAGAGTTCCAGATGAATAAATCATTACACAAAACAACAGCTAAATTTGAACTAATAAGAACCAGGGGTGTACTCCTACATGGTGTTTTGTTTTAATTTAGGCTTTTAGCTAGGTCAATAGGATGGCTGCCAGCACATCAGAACTAAGAGGATTCTGCCATTTTATTGCAGTTGATTGGTATAAATGAGCTTTTTCATGCTTCAAAGTAAATTCACTTTAACTCTCTAGAATTACAAAGAATAAAGCAGATGACTCTCTTGGAGAGTGTGGAAATAAAAACATTAACAGAACTGCTGCCATGCTCATTTTGAGTTCAGGCTCACCCCTCAAACAACAAACACATTATAAAATAACCTGCTCAAGGATACAAGAGCAGAATAAATGCCAGTGTCTGTCTAGTCATTAGGGGGAAGGAGAAGAGAAATTACTTCATTTTTACTAAGACTGTTGCACAACTATTGTTTTTCTGTGTTGTTTCTCAAAGCAAAGGAATCCATAAGCGCTGAATTCCATTTAACTCCTTGGCAGCAGCTCAAGCTTTTTGTGAAGAACACACTTGGAGCAGAGCTGTCCCACACGAGCAGTGATGTGAAGGCAGCACGGGCCAGTTAAAGGGGAAGGAGCTGAACTGCCAGCAGAGAGCAGAACCACAGGAGAAATGGGATGAGTGCCACGTTGTGAGGGCCCTCTAACACATTCAGCAGCCACACGAGGGGGAGAGAGCAGGACACAGCCAGAAACCAAACACCTCACCTTTCTTGTCTCCTTTGAGCACAGATGTAGAAGGCTTTTCATGACTTTGGGTGCAGCCAGGAATCTCCTGTGCAATCACTTTGCTGTCTTTACCACCAAGCTCTGCAGAAGCGCTGTGTAGGTCATGGTGCTCCTCAGTTTTGCAACTCTTGTGACCAGTCCATGGCAGGCCCCCTGCCTTCGTGGAGGTGCAGACTTTGTCCTTGCTCAAGGAGCTGTCAATGGCTGGCGCCTCCCCAGCCCCTGGCTGAGAACCAGGACTCTGGAGGCTGTGGGCTGGGGGAGACGGAACCGGGGGCGCTTCCAACACCAACCGCAACAGCTGCTGCCTAGGAGCACCAGAGAAAGCAGAGCTGGCACACTGCACGTGTGAGGAACCCGAAATCCTGCTTGCCAGCACACGCTCTCACTCTTCTGCCTGTGAAAACGCTGGCACTGAGGGCAAAAGAGCAGGGAGCAGTCCCACACGGGCTTCTCCCACAATGTGGCTTTTTGGGCCCATGAGCAGCTGGCGATGACATCTCACAGTCCCACACCCCAGGGACAGGAGAGCCAGGGCACAGCAGACACTCCTGGCACAGCCCTGGGCTCTCTGACAGAACATTGTCACCTGCCCCCCTCCCTCAGCACCAGAGTGAAGCACCCAAATTTCTCACTAACCACAGAAACTCTGACAGGTGTGATTGGAGAGATTCGGGCAAGCATGACTCAACTAGAAGCTCATCCATCACTCAGCAAGCCCAGAGAAAGCACACAGTGATGGAAGGGTCCTGCCTCTGCCATCTCACCTGGGAGCGGATCCTATGGCAAACATCAGTTCAAAAATCTCTCTGCATATTGTGTATGGTCTCAGCATCATCTGTGATACTCTCAAGAACTTAACGGACTGCTAGGAGCTCTGAGCTGACAGAATTTTACCTTCCTGGCACAAAGCAGTAACTGCAGCACAGCTGACAATGCTCAGTTTATGAGCAGAGCAGTGTCCTTCCCTTTAAAGGCTGAGCAATGAATCAAGCAGGTATCAGAACAGCCACTACCCAAACCCTCCTGCCAGACCCTCAGTCACTGAGATAGCGCAGGGAGGTAAAAAACACCTGTTTAACCAAAGATGGATGGTTTCTAAACATCCTCCCCACCAGCATCCTCCTTCTGCTTCAACAGCAGCATAAACAGCTTCCCACCTTTTTCCTTCAGATCTGTAACACCCACAACAACTAAGTGTCCTTCATCAGGCCCCTGGTTCCCATTTTACAGTCTGTTTACTTCTCTCTTGCTGAAGCAGCAATGAAGCAGAGTTGTTGGGAATCTAAGGCTTCCACATAAATAAATTCCAAGGAAGAGACAGAGCTGTGAATCTTCCTAGGAAGAACTCACACAGAACAGTCCCAACGGCACTAAAAGCAATGTATCTCCTTGAAATTCCTGCTGCATTCCTGCTCAATCACTGTATCAGCAATGACAGCACCTGCTCTCTCCAGCACCCAGAGTCGATGTGTTTATTCCTCTGACTCACTACCTGTCGAGTAACCCTGACTAGGAAACAGAGATAAACTTGACAGTAAAAACAGTTTTCTTCCTTATGTACGAAGAAAACCAGAGATTCTTTTCAGCAAACACTCCTACTTTTCTATTTAACAAGGTGATGCAGAAACTGACAAATTTTCTCAAAATAATCTGTTTAGTAGAGGGCAATGAAATCAATTCTTTACACTTCACACAAACCTTTACCTGTTATGTTCAAAGATAGCGGCCTCACTGCAACTGATAAGAGAAATCTTCATTAAGGTCAGCTCGTGCAAATACTGCTCCTCATCTTTCTCTCCTGGCCCGGCCAGAGCCATGAATTCTGCCCCAGAGCACAGACAGGTGAGGGAACAGCAAAGTGCTGATGGCAGTGCCCCCAGGCTCCTGCCCTGCTGGGGCCAGGGTGTGCCCTCACAGGGCAGTGCCCAGCCTGCTCCTCTCCCTGCCCACACAAACACCCACGGCCATAGGGAAGCACAGGACAGCCCCACTCCCACTGGGAGCCCACCCTCTGCACTCCCACACATCCCCACACCATCCTGCACACACCAACGGTGAGCAGAGCACAAACGGGATCAGAGCTGGGTCTGCCTGGAATGATTCCCACTCCCTGCAAACACCCCATCCAGGGTGCACACACCTAATGCTGAGCAGAGCACAAACGGGATCAGAGCTCAGTCTGCCTGGAATGATTCCCATTCCCTGCACACTCTGACCTTGGAGCACAGCTTTCACTCTGCTAAGTGCCACCAACATTACCATTTGCTTCCCCTCCAGGCCTGACTTAAGAAATGGGTTTGCACTTTGTGAAATGCTGACAAGATTTAAGGCCTCATTTTCATAAACATCAAACTACCCAAGGCTCAAAGTCCAGTTAGAACATACTTGATCTTTCAAACATACTGAGCCCTTCAACTCCTGGACTGTGGATTTGTTTCTGGGACAGCCAAGGGGAGACAAAGCAGATGGAGAAGGAGGGGGAGAGAGAAGACCTGTCCTGTTCCAACATGAGCAGGACAGAGAGCAGTGCTGCTCTGACGGAACGATGCTCGTGCCCTGGGACACTCAGACAAGCCGTGTCCCCTCAGCTCAGGGCACCTGCAGCCCTGGACACCACACTGACCACTGCCCACACTGCCCAGGGCTCTGTCCCATCACAGCAGCCAGCAGGGAGCCTTTCCCACCCAGCCCCTGCCCTGGTTCCCTCCAGCCAGCCCAGACTGGGCTCCACAGCCCACCCATCAGCTCATGTGAGAAACTGATTGAACTCCAAGTCACAAAAGGAAAGGTTATTGAACCACTCTCACTGGTAAGATTTATACTGATCCATTAAAGCAGTCCAAAAAAAAAATTAACATTTAAGATTCAATATCATAATGGATCCAAGTCAGCACTACTTGTCCCCCACAAAATTAGACATTAACAAAAAAATAGTAATCCATTTATCACTAGGGAGCACCAGAATTCAAGCTGAAACAGGAGAACTGTAGGATTTAAATTACTCAAATAAATCAATTAAATCCAGTAGTGGTCATATAGGAGATTAGATCTATCTACATTCTATGATCTTCATCAGAGAAAAATTCTCTCATGAAACAAAGCCATCAACTGAACTATGCTTCTTGTCACTTACGAAGCCAAGAGTCTCATTGACTTCCAGCTCCAAGTTAATTTCAGAGAAAAAGATGAAAGTGCATTTGTCTCGTACAGAGACAGGAACACGCACAGAATTCCCAGCAAATCACTGAGTAGCTTCTCATCAAAAGAAAACAGATAATACCAGGAATTTCATGTATCTACTGACGTATCATCGCTGATACATGTTGTGATACTGTTGTGATATGTTACCAAGTCATATTTATTCTGTTTTTCCTGTCTTTTAAAGGAATGTGAAGCTCAAAAATGAATTCATAACAAACAGAAAAGTAGGTAAGAAATCAAGCTGAAAGCACGGCACTCCATTACTTTCCTTACCAAAGAAAACTCGCGTTTTTAGTCTCTCAATACCTACATTTGTTCTGGCCAGTGACTTCAGCAAAAGAATGCTCTTGCAAGGTGACCATAACCACTGGACAAAATCCTTCTATTCAGAATCTCCTCTGCACACATAGGAAGGATCCTGAAGAAAATCTTTATTGCCACTATTTCCCCCAGAGAATCCTGACATGTCTGTTGACTTCCTACCCATTGGCAGGGACTGTAACTTCCAGAGCAGCCAACCAGAAGCAGAACCAAAATAAGCGTGTAAAACCTCCACATCACTCGAGTGTGCAGCACCCTTCAGCCAGAACACTGCAGGATTTTCCCAAAGTGTGAGCATTCATCCTGGACAACGCTTCTGTGGCACCACAATTGATTTGCTCAGCTCTCACACCACCAGCTCTCTCCAGGGCTCACACACAGTCACACCTTGCCAGCTGCCAAACCAGAGAGAGCAGCTATAAATTACATCAATACCTTGCAGAGTTAAAGCTCTTCACTAGATCGTCTAAAATCCGGTTGTTTTTCAGGTCAGATTCTGAGACTGCCTACAAAAGAAAGAAAGGAAAAAAAAAAAAAGAAAGAAAAAGCAAAAAACAAAACCAAAACAAACCTAAACAAACAAACATTCAAATGCGGTGAAAAAAGCAAGTGCCCACAACATGTTCAAGTGATCAATAATTTGCTTCTTGGCTCCATGCCTCAACTACCCCCACTAAAGTGCTACAGAATTAAGATGCTTAAAGGGTAAACACCTCTTCCCCAAAAATATCTCATAGTAAAATAACTGCCTGAGAACTTCAGACTGGGATATTAAGGTAACAGGTAAAAACAAAGCATAAAGCTACAGAAAAAAAGCCCAGTGTGCTCAGGCTCCCACAATGGTTTACTGCACACAGGTCTCATAATTTTGAAAACCAAACCAAAATATCCTCTGAAGGTGGTAAGAACCTAAAGCAACAAAGCATGAAACCTGATGAAGGGAAATGTTAATCTTCTGATTACAGAATGAAAATATTAATTATGAGATGCCTTTGTGCATTCAATTCATTCTTTTTAAACAATTCCTGATTTTTACCTTATTGCAACTCTCTCTGTTCTTCTTTTAAACAAAGCCTGTATTATTTTTTTTAATTTTTAATTTGAGATGAAATGGAGCCACTCACATACAGAAAATACAGCGCTTATGTTTCAGCACTGCTGGTTTAAATGATGGACTATGTTAACAAATTAACATTAAATGTTTTGTGACAGATTGTACACACAGCCCTGAGCCAAGCCCTAGGCCTGATGCTCCATCCCCTTCTGCCTGCACTGAGAGGAGCATCTCTGGAACAGGAGAATTCCAGATGCAAGAGCACCACACTTTGCCCATGCAATCAGAACTGATTATTTGGTGTGGTCCAAAGGGAAAAGCTCCTGAGATTTGCCAAAAGATAAAAAATAAACTGAGGGGAAAAAACCAAACCAAAACCACGCTTACCACGCAGCATGTTGGACACTGGGTTTTGTAGGACAAAGACTTGCGGATACAAAGGGAACAATCTGGAAAAAGGAAACACATAATTTTAAACATGATTCCAAATGCAGTTCCACATCCTCGCTCGTGTATTTCCTTGTACAATACCTGCAAGTTATTCCACAACACACAAATATTGAAAACACACCATTTTTATATGGAATTGAGATTATCATTGTTGCAAAACAATCTGTATTTTATGCAAACATGTTTCAACATCAAATATCAGCTCCTCCACCTAAAGCTGATGTTTGTTGCCTTTTGTTCCCCAGTGCAAGAAACCCCTCATCAGCCCCCACCACTAGAGCAGTGGTTGCACTGCGCACCCCCTCACCATGCTGGGTTTTTGACCTAATGCTGATCACTTTCACCTTCCTGCATAGCCCCAGACAAATTCACAATCCCCTTTTTTCCCCAGGCTCTTCTGCCCCTTTCCACAACAATACCAACTTGTTGTTGAAAGAAGAGGCTAAAAGGGAGAGGAGACAGCACTGAAATGCTGAGAGACAGCCTAATGCCACCTCCCCATGCCAGGGTGCGGGGTGGTGAAACATGCCCCACTGTCACAGTAAATTTCTGCGTTTGTTACACTCTGTCAGTTTCTCTTTAACGGCCACCTCAGGATTTTAAAAGTCTCATCATTCTCCAGGAAAACACTCCCTCACTGGATCATCATGGCTCAGAGTCTCAGCACTAGCTCCTGGAAGAGATCTGTATTGCATTCACCCTCTGGGACTGCATCGGAAAAGCAGCAGAAGCATTAATTAATCTCAGAATGGTTTGGGTTGGGAGGGACCTTAAAGCTCATTTCATCCCACCCCCTGCCATGGGCAGGGACACTTTCCACTAGACCAGGTTGTTCCAAATCCAAAGCCAAATCCAACCTGCTCCAATTCACCAATTAACACTTAAAACCACAAATCCATCTAAATGCTCAATAATTACTACATACATAGTAAGAAGTGAAATATAGTGAGAAACCCATAGAGAAACAAACTTTAACTGTACGAATAGGAATGAAGTGGCAGATCCAGGCTGCCAGCCCCAGCCCCCATGGGCCAGCCCACGTGTGCACTGACTGCTGCTTGGAGCCACTGTGCCCCAGGCAGGCTGCACCACCAGCAAGTGAAGAGAATTTCCACGTTTGTGGCTCCCCACACTGGCTTCAATGGTGACAGCTTTGCCAAACTAAACTAAACTTCACTGCCAAACTACAGTGTCCCCCTTCACGGAAGGAAGTGCTACAGTTTCTGAACCAAACAATCACAAGCATTTATTTTAACGTGAGAAAAGGCAAGGTACTTCCCTCCTAATCTGGCTTCAGCAAAGCACTTGGGGCCAGGTTCCAGCAGATATCTCCCAGGGCAGACAGAGCAGCATGGAAAATTTGAGCTCTTAATACTCTGCACATAGAGCTTTGCATTCGTACCACCCTCAAGATGTTAAGAAAGATATTTAAATGCAGAATGCCAGACGCCACATGTTTGTATTACAGCAGGAACTACATAAGGGAAGGTTCCGGCTGTTTCCATCTTGCAAAGCTCCTCCCAGCTTCCATGGCAAAGAGAATCATAGAACCCTGA